TTGGCCTACTGCCCCTTTTAAAAATTCTTTGGCCTGCTGTCCCTTTTTCGGGGGATATATATATATATATAAACTCATCCATTAAAATGCTTCACTTGCTTGTCTTTCACGTCAAAGAACCGCAGGGCTTGGTTTGCTCTGAGGGCATGTGGGTTGCTCCTCAAGCTGCCGACCTGAAGGTCAATAGTTGTAATCCACCAGCCAGTCCGAGGGAGGGCGATGAGGCCACCTCTGCCGGCAAACGGTTTAAAATCTTGGAAACCCAGAAGGGCAACTTCACTCTGTCAGAACTGACTCTCTGGTGGTGGATGTTTTATGGGTTTTTTGTTTGTTTGTTTTTTAGGTTTGCTTCCCCTCAATTGTCAAAACGGTGATCCAGTTTATGTGAACTGAGATTATTAAAACTTACCCTTAACTCTTGCATCAAAATCATGAACTTACTGATTATAAAGCTATTGCAGTTCATCAGGTCATAGGTTTTTCTGTTTTGCTTTGTTTCTTCAGGAGGAGCGAGGATACTCAGTGTAGTCCATGATTTTGTAAATTTGAATCGTACTATTGTAGGTTCTGCTTTTATAAACCAAAAAGCCTTGCTATCTCCAGTTGATTCTCATGTAAAAGCCCACTCGTGTTAGTTGCCCTTAATTATTACTTCTCTGCTGTTTTATTTGTCACAGGTTGAAATGGCAGGGGCTGCTCATCCCAGCTAAGGATGCCCATGCCTGGTGCATTGTTTAACCCTGGGAAACGCTGCCAGGAGAGGCTTGTTCCCTGACAGCGCCCCTAGGGGACGGGGTGGGACAGTGCTCCTGTGGGTTCTGCTGTCCATCTTGAAGGCAGTAGACAGCATCATCTTTCTCACACAGAGCAGCTGGTGGTTTTGAACTGCTGACCTTGCAGTGAGCAGCCCACACGTAACCCGCTGCAGGTGGGGAGCCAGGGGAAGCCTGTTAGCAGCCACTGAATACCCTCCAAGTGTGCTTTGTGGTGTCATCCCAGCACACACATCCAGGCATGCTTATGTACTTATGCAAAGCTATACATGGAGAAAACTTCTCTTCCTTCCATCCCGATTTTTAAATGCAATTTTAAAGAGACAGGGTTCTCTCTCATATTTTTCTCCTCGTCTGATCAAACAACAGGGAGGTCGAGCAGCAAATGCACCTTCTGCCATCATTGTCAGACTCTGGCAGTGCCGAAAGCGTGATCACACACAGAGAAGAAGGGGCCTGCGTGCAGGAGGACACCGAGAAAGGGGGCCGTGGTCAGTGACGCTCAGATGCAGGCGGGGCGCTCAGTCCTCCAGGGGACTTGCCACAGCCACCAGGGGAATGGCGGTCCCCTGTGTGGAGTAGCGGGGATGGATGTGCCGGCTGCTGGCACGGGCTTTGCAGGGGCCACAGCGGGGACTCAAACCCGGGGTGAGGACGGGCTGTGTCCCGTCCTGCAGTCTGCCTGGTCGCTGTGGCTCGGAGCCGACCCCTAACAGCCGCAGTGTGAAGCAAAGCCTGGCTAAGGAGGCCACCGGGGCTGCACGGGGTGGTAGATACACAGGTGTGCAGGAGGACGTGAGAGGCATGGAGGACCGTAGTACCAGATGAAGGGATCTCCGCGGCGTGGCACAGCCATGACAAGCAATCGGAAGATGGGCCTCAGAGATCATTTAAACTGAAACGCAGAGATGAAACGCAGAGTGGGGAAGACACAGATCAGTGGCCCCACAGCTCTGGTACAATACCGGGAGGGCTAACGTAAGTGTCACTGGGAACTCGGAAGGAAAAGGGGAGAGAG